AAAACTTTGGGTCTCCAAGGCAATCTAGGCTTCACCTTCACAGCTTCACACAGTGGTCTTTCTAGACCTTCATTCAGGGACACCCTGACACATGCCTTGCCTAAGTGGCTTACCTTAGTCAAGGAGGAATATTCCATAACCCCTTTTGTCTGTCCTTGACTCTACAGACTGAATCACATTGACAAAGCTGCCACGTTCTGTTGCTTGCTGGAGCTGGAACATGGCCTCTTCAATTACATCTTCACCATCTTTCTGTGTTTGGTAGTTTCCTTCACTGTCTAAGTTTGGCTGTCCTGAAATGGATCTGTAGACCAGACTGCCCTCATACTGAGAGATCCACCAGCCTCTGCCTCTGGAGTGCTGTGATTAAAGGCATGTGCCGCCTCACTTGGCTCTAAGCTTTTCTTTAGTTCTTTTTCACAAGTTGGAAACTTAGCTGGGTGGGATTTTTCCCTGAGATAACCACTCCCTTTATTCCATTTCATGATCTGTTTATCTCCTTGAAAACAGGACATAGTTTTGGTGCACTTCTTCTCCTCAAATTTTACATTTTGTATTTTTCCTTGCTCAGCTTATTCCTTTTCCTTATATATTTTTGTAAGCATGAGCACTGGTCACCACACAACAGAGTCTATACTAGGCTGTTTTGAGATTTCCACAGCCAATGGAATTAATCCAAATCTCTTCACTTTAGTCTCAAGCAGACTCTCTGGCAAGGACAAAAGCAGCCATATTCTTTACCACAATATCACAAGAATGATATCTAGGCCACATTTTAATATTCCTCTCCTCTGAAATCTTTTGAGCCAGGTCCACACAGTTTATAAAACCACACTCAGCACCATAGTCTTCCATGTTCCTGTTAGGATGGTCCATTAAGCAGCACTTAAAGTGTTCAACTACTTTTCTAATCCACAGTCCCAAGGTCCATATTAATTCGAACAAAAGCATGGTTAGGCCTATCACAACAATACCCCAGTCTCTGTTACCAACTTCTGTCTTAGGGTTTCTTTTGCTGTGAATAGGTACCATGACCACAGCAACTCTTATAAAGGAAACATATTATATTGGGATGGCTTACATTTTCAGATGTTTAGTACATTATCATCATGGTGTGTAGCTGTAAGTTTCTCTGGTCTCACTCAGCCCCATGGTCCTTCAGCTGTTTATAAAATAATCATTCATGGGCTTAATATTAATTGTAAGTTATATGGACTATGGGTCAGCTTCTTGCTAGCTAGCTCTTATAAATTAACTCAACCATTTCTATTAATTTATGTTGCCATGTGCCATGGCATTGCTGGTCTGCTGGCATCGTCTTGCTTCTTGGTGGCAGGCTGGCGTGTCCTCTGACTCCACCCTTCTTCATCTCATCTTTAGTTTGAATGTACTGCCTAATCTTATCCTGCTCTACCATAGGCCAATGCAGCTTTATCTATCAATAAATCAGAGCAACACGTATTCACAGCATACAGAAAGATATCCCACAGCAATGGTGTATAGGCAGACATGGTGCTGGAGTAGATGAGAGTCCTACATCTTGACCTGTAGGCAACAGGAAGTGGTCTGAGTACTACTTTGAGTGAAGAATGAGAAAAGGAGACCTCAAAGTCCATGCCCACAAGTGATACAATTCCTCTAACAAGGTCACATCTCCTAATAGTTCCATATCCTCTGAGAGCTATTTTCTTTCAAACCACGATAAGAGATTTATTAATTTATTTTTTAAGGACCCCTGTCATATTCATAAAGGCTATTTTAAGGTTTATGCTTCAGCTATGTTGCAATTCTCAGGACCTGCAGTGGTAGGGTTACTGGGCTCTAGTAGAGACATATCATCCTCAATGTTATTATATGGCTATGTCACCCTGAACACTCCTGATGTCATCTGCACATTACTTTTTATTTCTGTGATTATGTATATAAATATTCTAAGTAGCTCTGATATTTTTAATAAAAATAATATATTATGGTCTGTTGATTCATCCCAGTATCAATCAAATGTTACTGGTTTCATTTCTTTCATATATTGCTTTCACCGACTTTCATGCTTAGTATTCCTGGATTCCTTTGGCTTGACAATCTTTCTGTACACTTGATAGAAAAACTTGGGCCACAAGTTGTTTTCATTTATTCTATTTACCTTGAGATGTCTTTTGTTTTTGACCATATTGAATACAAGTTAAAGGCTAGAGCTCTGTGACTGCTATCTGTGCATGGCTTGCTTATTTATATTTCCTGTTTTCCTGAGAATATATGTGATTATCAATAACATGTCTCCTAGGGACATACTCTAGTTTTGGCTTTGCCACTAACCATCCCTAAATAACATTAAACCTACAGTGCATGTTGGTAGTACTTTCTTCTGAATTATCAAATCATTTATGTTGGGAGAGAATATTTGAATCTTAGATTTCCCCTGCTCTTGGTTCTCATAATTTCTAGGAATGTTCACAGAATTCTTATCCTGTAAACCCTATTTTGATATTGAACTCAACATTTATAACTGTTCTAGTTGTGGCCCCCATGGGTTAGATTAAAATGACCAATGCTGCCATTGTTGCAAGTGAAAACTCAAAAGTAAATTGCATTCACATGTGTGAGCATCGAATTCACACAACTAACTGCATAAAAATAGCACCCCATCTAAGATGAATGGAAGATCATTCTGCAGTCCTTGTGAGGGTGTTGGGTTCCCAGTGATGATTATGTTGAACACTCTGTGCCAAAGCACATCAACGTCCTATACTCAGTTGGTTTTCTTTTTTTTTTGGTTGTTTATATTTATCTTGTTTTGCCTATTTCCCCTCAAAGCACTCAACCCAAACTCATAGTCCACATCACTTACTTTTAATTTTCATTCTTGGAATCCTATCAAAGAAGATAAATTCTATTTTGACTCTTGTAGTGGGTAGCCATTCCAGCTTGAAGCCCTCCAGTAACAGACTCTTTCTCATTTGCAACCCCAGTGATGTAGAATAGAGCCCTTACCTGTAATAATTGCAAACTGTAATTCTAAAATATATTCAGAGATGGATTTTTTTCTGAAGCATTCAGGCAGAGATAGGAAAAGAGAAAGAATGAGTGTGATAGCCATAATCATCTGAAGACTGCCTGAATCTCTACTGAAGGTAACCTCAGTTTCAAGGGAAAGACAACCAGGGCAGCCCCAGCATGCAGAGCGGGATGTGTCTCTGGCCATGAAGTCTTTCTAAAACTTTCCTCTTTTCAGTCTCATGGTTGAAGTTAGAAGCTTGATTCTTCTGGGAACCTGTTTTGGTTTGTTTCTCTTAGTTCTTGGAAACTTGGGAACCTGCTCATTCCAGCACAAGAACTCACACTTTGGACCTGGCATCAAAACACACACAAAAGCCCAGGCAAGAGGCCAGAGCTTGGCAGGGACACAAAGGTCAGGAGTTCATGGAGGCAGGAATCATGAACCCAGGGAAGAAGTTGTACTGCTCTCAACCTTGGTCAGACATGCTTCTTTATGCAGAGGGCGGTGGTTAAAGAAGAGGCCTATAGCTGGTCAAAGTACTCTGTGTGCCCATCTGAACATGGGTCATCAATACCAATATCCACCTTAATAGTCCCAGAGAACTTTCCAGAAGGGGAGTTGGGAAGAGTGTAAAAGCTGGCCAGTGGAGAGAAGTGCTGTGAAATGCTGACTTCTAGATATAACATGGCTGTTGCACAATTAATACAGTGACCTGCACAAGATCAAGCCAATCAAAATTCCAGCAGAATTCGAAGAAGAGCTTGGTCTCACCCTTGTCAAAGGAGCTACTGGCAGCTGATGGTTCTTGAGGATGGAGAGTCACTCTCTTTTGTGAACACAGCTGCTGGTATGATACTTACCCTGTGGATGTCCACACACCCATGTGCATATGTGCAGCACTAATTGGACTCAGGAGTTATTAATAAAAGTGAAAAATAGAAGCTATGAATTTGAAAGAGCAAGGAGGGGCATATGGGAGGATTTGGAGTGAAGAAAGGGGAGTGTAATTATATTATAATCTCCCAAATAAAGGAAATAATTTGAAATATTTAAAAGAGGATATAAAGTTGGGGGTGCATGGAGCAGGGACACTATGTGAAGTTAGGGAAAATAGCAGTGGGTAGATATGATCACTATACATACTATAATATATGAAACTTTCAAAATAGAAAAAATTATTAGATATAGAATTTCACATATTAATTAGAGGTGGATTCCTTACTCTTCTCTACAGACCCAACAATTAGGCTATGACCAGAGGCCTGGACTAGAGATATGAAGTTTTATGAGTCTACATGGTTACAGATAACATTTCTATAATATTCCTAGGTATTTTAGTTTCTTGTTGCTTATCATGTAATAGGATGGATATAGTTAACAGATTCATCTCAAGAGAATGTAGTGTTAAAAAAAGAAAAAACACAGCCCAAAAGATTGAACTCTGTATTAAACAGCTTTCTGCTAATATAACAAATAACTAAGATAATCAACTTACAAAAAGAAAAGTGTTATTCCTGGAACAGAATTTTAGAGGTCTCAGGTGCTACTGAGTTGAGGCCATTGATGTGGTCTATGTTTGTACCTCGTAGTAGGGATGCGAGGGTTGAACAAAGACTCTCACCTCCTGGACATTAAAGAAGATAGACAAAGCTCTGAGTGACATGTCATGTTTATTGCATGCTTTGAGTAAAGTAAATATCACAACTAGTCTCAATTTCTAAATGTTTCTAGCATTCCCTAAAAGCACAATATTAAGGAACAGGTTTTTACCAACGACATGAGACTTTGGGGACAATTAAGATCCAATCTGTATCTTGGTTAATGATGAACAAGTTTGGGAAATATTTATGTAATTTCAAAAGTATGTTTAGCAATTTATGTTTGTCTGATTAGATTTATGCCCTCAATTTTAAAAGTATTTGATTTTATTAGACAAATATCTAGTTTCCTGTGCAGTATAAAATTTGAATGCCCATATTTATTGAAAAGCTCCTCACATGCTAACACTGTCATTAAGTTCTTTCAAACACGACACTCACTTTAATATTATATCAATTAGGCATTATTTCTATATCAAGTTTTTAAAACTAACGTATGTCTCTAAGAAAGTATTTTCCTACCAAGTTGTCTCTTCAGAGCACCCTTAATCTCATTATTCCTGAGGCTGTAGATGAGGGGGTTCAACATGGGGATCACCACCATGTAGAACACAGACACCACCTTGTTCTGGTCTGTGGAGTAGCTGGACTTGGGCATCACATAGATGAAGGTGATGGTGCCATAGAAGAGAGTGACTGCAGTGAGGTGGGAGGTGCAGGTGGAGAAGGCCTTGTGGCGGCCCTCAGTGGAGCGCATCTTCAGGATGGTGATGAGGATGTAGATGTAGGAGACAGCTATGACAAACACTGTCACCACAATGATGGAACCAGCTGTGAATGAGGGAACAACTGCAGGGACACTGACATCAGAACAGGAGAGTTTTACTAATGGGGCAAAATCACAGAAAAAGTGATTGATTCTATTTGGTCCACAGAAGAGAAGTGAAAAGAAGGAAAGGGTGAAGGAGGAAGCATTAAGAAAACCACCAATATAGGCTCCTACAAGCCACCGGACACAAACTTGTGTGGACATTTTGGATGAATAAAGCAGTGGGTTACAGATTGCTATAAAGCGATCATAAGCCATGGCAGCTAGAACAAAACATTCAACTGTCCCAAAGAAAACAGCTGAACCAAGCTGGATGGCACATCCAAGGTAGGAGATGGTATTTCTCTCCACCAGGAAATTGACAAGCATATTGGGAGTGACAGAAGATGAATAGCCTATGTCAGCAGAAGCCAAGTGACTGAGAAAAAAGTACATGGGGTGATGGAGCTGGGAAGAGACTCTGATGAGAAGGATGGTGCTGAGGTTCCCAGACACAGTCACCAGGTAGATGCACAGGATGATGATGAAGAGGACGACTTTAAGGACTGGGTCATGAGTTAAGCCCAATAAAATGAACTCTGTCACTGCAGTGTGGTTTCCGTCCTCCAGGAAAGCCATGGGTCAGCGTAGCTGCTGCCAGAACACAGCTATGATGGAGACATTACAGGAAGAGATTTGTAAATAGGTAGTTTCATTTTCATTAATACATAAACAATACAATTATATTTAAAGATGTCCAAGCATCAATGTTTATTTTCCTGCAGGGATGAATCATTCTATAATTTTTAAGTTCTTTAGCCCAATTACCTAAAAACTTTCCCTCATGTGATATGCCCCTTTCTTTACATGTTATGTTGTTTAACCAAGTACACCTTAAAACAAAATATAAAAATAGAAGATAGATGAGTATAACAGAAATAAATCCTGGGTATATTAATGAAGATGATGCAAAGAGCTTTGGAGGAAATACTTATATTATATATGTATTATATATATTATAAATAAATATATGTGGCTTATATTTTATATGTTTCTTAAAAAACAAGCATTAATCTAGAAATTGTGCACAGATGCAAATAGGTAATTTATGAAATTGTGATATTCATAAATATTTTTTGGTTTTACATAAATTATTACAATTTCACAATATATTATTTTAATCACTTTATATTTTAACAACTTTGAAAGAGATTCTTTAACTTTAATGTGGTCCATAATAGCCAGTAAAATCAGAATTATAGCCCCAAGCTGTCTGAACCCCTCTATTTAACATCTGCATGATATCATAATGATATAACAAAAACCTTAGATTCCTATATACCAGAAGTAATGGGAAGGTAGGTTTTTAATGGCTTTTAAATAGATATTGTATAAGAGTTTCTTACATAAATAAAATTAATATTCACTCACCAAATAGACAGAAATTTTAAATTATCAATAAAATTATGTAGTATAAATTTGTTAGTTTTTTATATATTTGAAACAGAAAATGTTTTAAGAAATAATTTGGGATATATATGCAATCATGAAAAAAACATACTAGATACTAGATAACTGAAACAGACTTATTCAAATAAATGACTTCTTGGTATAACACTTGTTTCTATCTGGGCTTTTATCAGATAAAATAATCTTATATTCAACATACTTTATATTTATATAATATAGTAAACTTTCTCTAAGCAAAGGTAAATCTTTGTGCACAATTTTTAATAACTTTTAAATCTTTTACTTGAGTCATTAAATATCAGTAAACGCCCAAAGCCCCTCAACCCTTTTAACAGTGACACATTTAGATGATGTTAAAAAATTATGACTTGCTGTATTGTATGTAGGTAAACAGGGATCCTGGTCCTCTGATTATGACTGTTTGATGTCATTAAACTTATGATGGATACAGCCAGCCAAGGTGGCTCACAGGCTGACTGCTTGATTACACTTGCCATTTTAGCACTGTGACTGAGTACATAAATGTTTTTCTCAGATGGTAAATGAAAATCAGTCATCCAGATTCATTACCACAAGCAAAGTCTTACCTCTTGAAGTGAGAATGTATTCATCTTTTAGTGAAAAGTCAAAGTTTTGGTGGTTAGGGAGTCATCTTTTAACTTTATCCTCCTTCGGGGACAAATCTCTGAAGACGCTAAAAATTCAAATATGAATCCTGAAGTAGCATTATTATCTGTGGTGGATACTGAGTGACTCAATTCACAGGCCAAAACAACTAAGCTCCCAAGATCCTATCAATTCTCAAGTGGTCAATTCATTATTTTGTTCTCTCTAGGTGTTCATGCATAGTCATGTAGGATTTGCTCAGCCTTGGTGCAGGGAGGAGGGGACTTGACCTGCCTCAACTGAATCTGACTCCCCAGGGGAGACTTTGCCTTGGAGGGAGTGGGAATGGAGGTGGATTAGGGGAGGAAGGTTGGGGGATGGGCGGAGGGGGGACAGGGGAATCCGTGGGTGATATGTAAAATTAAATTAATTATAAAATAAAAATACTTGTTAAAAAAGATTTAAATGATTAAAAAGTTGAAGAAAAAAGGATTTGTTTCTTATTTATGACATGAAAATATAACAAATTTTCTTATGAACAATTAGTTCCAAGTTTACTTGGATATTTGTAAGAAGTAAATAATGCTAAACTTCAAATATAAAAACTAAACCTAGTTTCATCCATTCAATATCTTTATCACTAAGTCCTTTGAATTGCCATCTTTAACATGTGCCATCAAGTACCCCAGAGGAACATGAGGTGGGATTTCATATGAAGTTGAATTTTAAATAACAAAAAAGTTTTACACATTTCCAATATTGTATAAGAAGACAGAGCATAGCCGGGCGGTGGTGGCGCACGCCTTTAATCCCAGCACTCGGGAGGCAGAGCCAGGCGGATCTCTGTGAGTTCGAGGCCAGCCTGGGCTACCAAGTGA